ATGATCTGGTGAACTGGAAAGTGACCTGAGATGACATGATGTGAATTGGAGCTATAGAAATAAACTGAATTCAATCAATAACTCCAATCGTACACGAGAGAAAAATCTATTTTAAAATAAAGTTTCTAAAAAAAATTTTTTTTTCTTATTTTAGGAAAAACTGAAGGAGAAAAAAAAAGTTTTTAGCTGCCCAGAACCCAAATATATAATTCCCTAAAATAAACCTGCATTTATAAACTAATTGGTTCTTGTTTCCTGGTATAAATAATACACTATAGTTAAAAAAGTTATAAAATCAGGTAAATATTGCATTAAAAACTGACACCACTAGAGAAACATACTAAAGACATCAAAACCTAATGTGAATGTTCCTGTGTCTACATCTACGGCTGCATGGATGGAAACAAACACGGAACGCTAAACACGGGAATGCTGAAGACGGAACACTGAAGACGGAATGCTGAACACGGGAACGCTGAAGACGGAATGCTGAACACGGGAACGCTAAATACAGGAACGCTGAACATGGGAACGCTGAAGACGGAACGCTGAAGACGGAACACTGAAGACGGAATGCTGAACACGGGAACGCTGAACACGGGAACGCTGAATACGGGAACGCTGAAGACGGAACCCTGAAGACGGAACGCTGAACACGGAACGCTGAAGACGGAACGCTGAAGACTGGAACGCTGAAGACAGAACGCTGAAGACGGAAAGCTGAAGACTGGAACGCTGAAGACGGAACGCTGAAGACGGAACCCTGAAGATGGGAACGCTGAAGATGGAACCCTGAAGACGGAACCCTGAAGACGGAACGGTGAAGACGGAACGCTGAAGACGGAATGCTAAAGACGGAATGCTGAACACGGGAACGCTAAATACAGGAACGCTGAACATGGGAACGCTGAACATGGGAACGCTGAACATGGGAACGCTGAAGACGGAACGCTGAAGACGGAACGCTGAACACGGGAACGCTGAAGACGGGAACGCTGAAGATGGGAACGCTGAAGACGGAACGCTGAAGACGGAATGCTGAAGACTGGAACGCTGAAGACGGAACGCTGAAGACGGAACGCTGAAGACGGAAAGCTGAAGACGGAAAGCTGAAGACTGGAACGCTGAAGACGGAACGCTGAAGACGGAACCCTGAAGAAGGGAACGCTGAATATGGAACCCTGAAGACGGAACGGTGAAGACAGAACGCTGAAGACGGAACACTAAAGACGGAACGC